CGATGGGTGGTTCTGTGTATGAGGAGCAAGGAGGAACTTTGTATGAGGAGCAAGGAATTTTTGAGGGCATAGAGAAGATGACAACTGTAGTTTTGGGTGTGTTGATGAGACTTCCAGTTGGATGTATCCAAATTTGGAATTGAGGAGAGATCTAAACTTGGAAGTTGTCATAAGCTAGATGAAGAGATTTGAAGCAGACCCTGTCATTGCCCCACCAGTACTCCCTGGCCCACCCAGAAGTTGCTCACATGTGGTTGCCATTCAGACCTGTGGTTTTCTGTGTCTCTCTGCCTGAGACATTCTCTGGTTTGGGCACTGCCTGGCACCTGCACAGAAGATACAGAATGTTCTGGGAGGTAACCCCTCAGAAACAACCCTCAGTCATTGAGAGAGGGACACTGTTAGATAAATACCCATTTCCTGGCCCCTTGAGGAGCCCATCTGTGGGCATTCCATGCCATTGTTCCTCAAAGTTGAGCCCAACCTTTTCCCCCGGGGAGATTGTTAAAACTCAGATTCCCAGGCCTATTCCAGAGACTCTGAGTTATTAGACCTGGTCAGGAGGGAAATAAGATTCGCATTTCTATGCACATCAAAACCACAGTGAAATAACATCTCACCCTAGTGAGAATGACTATTAATAAAAAGACAAAAAATAACAGATGCTGGTGAGAATGTAGAGAAAAGAGAACTCTTATACACTGTTGGTGGGAATGCAAATTAGTACAGCCATTATGGAAAACAGTATGAAGATTCTCAAAAAACTAAAAATAGATTTACCATTTGATCCAGCAATCCCACTACTGGGTATTTATCCAGAGGCAAAGAAATCTGTGTATCAGAGAGATACCTGCACTCACATGTTTATCCAAGCACCATTCACAAGAGCAAAGACCTCAAATCAATCTGAGAGTCCATCGGTGGATCCATGGACAAAGAACATGTGGTATATATACACAATAGAATACCTTTCAGCCAAAGAAATAAAAATAAAAGAATGAAATCTTGTTATTTGTAGCAACGTGGATGGAACTGGAGGTCATTACATTAAGTGAAATAAACCAGGTACAGAAAGATAAATACCACATGCTCTCACTCATACATACAGGCTAACAAAATTATCTCATGGAGATAGAGAATAAAATGATAAATACCAGAGGCTAGAAGGGTGTGAGTGGGGGAGGAGAAAATGAAGAGATGTGGGTGAATGGATACTGACATTTAGTTAGATAGAAGAAAAAAGTGCTAATTATTAATACTAGTCTAGGGTGATAGCCTAGTATTTTCAAGTCCTCCAGACATTTCAAGTCCTCTCCTCTGGCTATGTTGAAATATATAATATATTTAAATGTTATGTATTTCAATATACAATATATATTTAAATATTGTATATTTAAATGTGCAATATATATTTAAATATACAATACATTGAAATATACAATATATTTAAGTATATTGTATATTTCATCATAGCCAGAGGAGAGGACTTATGTTCCCAACACAAAGATATTCAAAGTGATGGATACCGCAAAAACCATGACTTGATCATTACACATTACATCCAGGTAACAAATACATGTATTCCATAAACATGTAAAATATGATGTATCAAGAAAAGAATTCCTTTAAAGATTTGCATTTCTCACAAGCTTTGTGTTGCTGTACCTCTCAACACGAACCCAAGGGGTCATTTCCAGTCTGCAGGAAGGTAATCCCTGTTTAACCCTCCCTTTGTTGACTTTCTTCTTCCCTGTCTCCCCTCTCTCTCATCAGCTTTTTGGGATCATACTCCAAATGAGCTACAGGAACCCAAATCCTTGTCTGAGGTCTGCTTTCGGCAAATTCTAATTATGATAGCCACTGAGGCCCATGTATAATAAGGGGATACTTGGGAAAATTCTCTCAGAATTGTCATCCCAGTTGGGACACATGGAATACATGAGGGACATTCAGGGTAACACAGCAGCTTGGGAGTTGTGCCTGATTCCTGCCCCCCTTAGAAATATTTCTATCCCAGAGAGGCTGACGCTAAAGGAGGGAAGTGGGACGGTGGGGAGGGGGAATAGTTTTCAAATGATGGAAATAAAAACAACCATGGACCAGAATGTTTAAAAAAAAAACATTTCTTCAACTCTGTGTTAAATATGGAAAATGAGTCTCAAGGATGTAAAAAAGAAATCTGTTTGGTTTCACTTAACCCATAGATATGGTTTGGCTGTGTCCCCACCCAAATCTCATATTGAATTGTAGCTCCCATAATTCCCACATGGTTGTGGGAGGGACTCTTGAGATCTCATCGTTTTATAAGGGGTTTCCCCTTTCACTTGGTTCTTACTCTGCTCTTCCCTGTCACCATGTAAGTAAGGCGTGCCTTCCACCTTCTGCCATGATTGCAAAACCTCCATAGCCAAGTGGAACTGTGAACCCACTAAACATCTTTTTCTTTATAAACTACCCAGTCTCAGGTATGTCTTTATCAACAGCGTGAAAATGGACTAACACACCCACTCACCACAGAACTGGAAACTGGCTTCAGTCTTTCTCTCTTTAGAGTAAGCTGTCCATTCCATAATATTTCTTAATAGTGTTTGTAGTCACAAATATTCATCTTTCCATGACTACAATGCTAGATTAAATTCTTCCATAGGGGTTCTTTCCACCGTTTCATTGCAGCCCTTTCTCAAGATCACTTTTCTGAGTGCAAAGATCCCAGGAAGGGGTCATTGCAATCAAAGTGTGTGGATGGGTCTGCCATCAGATGTCTCTCTCTGACCTGAGGCAGGAAGCTGAGGGCACTGGGCACCTGGCATAAGGCAGAGGAAGGGCTCAAAGTGGACAAGACAGACCGTCACGAAAGACATAGTGCCACTGGCGTTCTACCTACATGGGAACTGCAATAATGACCTCTACGTCTTGGTTCCTTCTTTTATTGTTTGATGCCTTAGTGAAGTTGGGTCAGTGCAATACCAGCAGCCTTCTCCAGAGGTCAGGGGACCTGCCAGGATGGGAATAGAGAGTGAGCATCAGGTTCAGGCAAAGCCACACAGTGGGCTGGGCTGTGACCTGCATGTCTGTCTGTGGCTCTGGGGACAGCAGTGGTTCACGTGCAAATGGGAATGTTGCAATCCTCACATCTTGCAGAAGACGCCGAGTCCATCCTCTACTTGTTCCCCACACTGACTCAGGCTAGAAGGAGCTTGTCACCAAGACATGGCAAGATCGCGCAAGAGAGGAAACAGAAAGACCGTGAAGCTCAAACAAAAGCAGCCAAAGTTCGACCACAGCAGAAGATGAACTGCTAAGCTCTAAGAAAGGCTAGATCCCAGTGTGTGCTCATTATCTCTGGAAGAATTTATCCTTTCCCTGGTTGAGAATGCCCTGCCTCCCTGACTCTCTCCTACAATTAACTGTACTGAAGAGGCAGTGGAGTGAGGGATGAAGTGATAGGGCGGACCGAGAGGCAAGACTGTAAACTGAATAAATGTGTGATGCCGCCGATACAAGGTGGAAAGGGTGGCTCTATGATGGCGAGGCGATGTAGCAAGCCCAGAAGGCACCAGACCGGCTTCATCCAGCAGCAATCAAACTGGTATCCGCCACACACACACAAAAAAAAAAGTAGGAAAGAAAATCAGGACTTTATCCAAACAAATCTATCAAGTATCAAGTTTGGCAAGAATAAAAATGCACCTAGTATATCACTGACTTTTGTATATCTGAACTCCAAACCTAACCAGCTGGAAGATCCTATTTTAAGTAGCATCCCATTCAACCTTCCAAAAGCAAGGCACGTAGTCTTCTCAGGATGGAAGTCAGTGCTTTAAACACTATCTTCTCTGGATGCAAATGAGTGAAGTACTGATCTACACCATGGACGAAAAAGAATCTGAACTAAGCCCCAAAAGCCAGACTCATGAAAAATCAGTGTGATGCTTTCACCATCCAAAGGGTTATTGGCAAGTTAGTGGCCTATGTCCTGTGACAACATCAGTTCTGCTTTACAGAGAATGTGTCAGTCCTACAGTCTTGAGAGCTAGGAAATACTGGGTGGATATAGACCATCAGAGCACACGTGAGCTTGGGGAGTGGACTTGGTTTCTGTCCAGGTTTTGGAGCTCAGAATGAATGATGGTTGCCAATATGGGCTCAGACAGACCTGAGTCAGATTCTACGCTGGGGCTTGGAGGCTGTCGGTAACATGCGCAGTCCCCTCCCCTCCCACCACAGGCCTGTGACTGCCCTGGCTTGCAGGACTTGGTTAGAGGCAGATGATAACAACTGCAGACCTCTTCGCTCAGTGTCTCTTCCCTCTTAGGTGCTCTGTAGCTAAGTAGATACAGGTGCTATTTTCCTCTAAATTTTCCTTACCGTGTAATCATTAGTACAGGTCTCTCCAAAGAGCAATTTATGTTAAAGAATAATTTTGAGGCATTCAATTTGATTCTAATAGTCATAGCTGGGCTGTGTCTAGTTTGTGATTTTCAAACAAAACAAAACAGAAACACATCATTTAAAATGAGTTAAGCTGAAATGAACCAATGAGTTAAGCTAAGTTGGATAAATTCTGCATGTCATAGAAATGACGGGAGGGAACCAAGCTGAGATAGGTTAGGGATGAGGTTAGAGACTAGAAAAGAAAGGGGAGTGAAGGAAGGGGTTCCGGTTTGGGAGAGAAGAAGGCTGTTTTCAATGCAGCCAAAAGGCAATAATAAGGAAATAAGACCATCTCCCTACTGTGCCCCAGGCCATCTTCCTCTGCCCGTCAGCCCACCTTGGGCTGGGTGGGCAGGATGAGGGGCCTCTGCTCATCCATGGAGCCACTGTGGTCTCTCCAGGGGAGCTCTTCTACCCCACTCAGCTTCTCTTAAAACTACCACTTGAGACAAAAGGAAAACATGATTTTCATCCAGATGAATGTGGTATGTGTGTGTTTTCTTAACTGTTGCTGAATGCCCCATCAGAAATTAGAAGCCCTAAAAATTAATTTTAACCAAACATACTTTGTACTTTCTCACTGCGTTCATCTTTTCTGTCTGATTCTGCTCTCACTTCCTGAACAAGAGGACAAATCTTAGATCCTTCAGTTTTCAAAAGTAAAAAACCATGGTCGGAAGCATGCCCTTCTCCTGTAGTTCTTAGCATTCTGGAATGCACCTGTGTTAAAATACGAAGAAATAAAACAAATATAAATTATGCATTTTCCAACTTAATTTAAAATGCATTATGCTCTGCTTTGTTCTCCGGAATTAGTCTTATTAAGGGGACAGATCTGTATGGATTAATTTTGAGTCAGTTTGTTCACTCTTTGTAATTCAGTGGCAAGGATTTTTGTCCCCAGGCATCAAATTAAATTTTTTTTTTTTTACTGTAAGTAACACATACAAAATATAGACCTCTTTGTGTTATTTCTTTGTTTACCTGGCACGCAACATATTCTCATATCATGTCCCCATTGAATCTTAAATCTTCTCCCTTTAAAGAACAAAACTTTCCCCACAATTTTTAAAGCAAGGTAACCTTTGTCACAATATTGGAGTTCAACACAATAATAGCATTATTCTCTGGCTGGTATTCATTTCTGTTAGAGATCGTCATGGCCTCCTCCAACCCAAACTCAAGGCGACCAGCCCCCAAGCCCCTGTCTCCCCAGTAATTTTGGCAACATGTGAACTGGCATTTTATGGCTATTTAAAATAGGTACCAAATCATCATTCTTAAGCATTGTTTTAGTACAGTAATTCTTTGTTCTGCTTCGACATTTTAAATCTTTATATTTTCCCCCCTACACGGAGCAAGAAAATCGTCTGCATTCTTAATTAGTCTTCTTTAAACAAAATATCCTTTCATATGCACTAATAAAGACTAAGGAGCCTTCCCCTCTTGTTTAAATAACTGCCTGCTGTAGTATAAAATTGTAAGAGACACGATGCAGATCAAGTTGCGGGCTTGAAGTGGGGAAGAGGAACAAGCCGTGCCATAATAAGCAGATTTTAATGATTTACTATAAATCAGCATTTTTGCCCTGTCAGTGAGATTGAAGAGGCAGACAGCTCCTCACATGTCTGCCGAGCAAATGCCTTCCTGATGAATCATGTGCACTGAATCACTGATCACAACATTCAAACGGCACATCCAAATAATGAGGGAAACATATACACAGGCTCCCGATGGCTGCTCCAAGGCAGCAGGAATATATGCTTTTCCGTTGTGTGGTCGTTAAACCCCTCGCATTGATCCTCCGAGGACTGCAAGGAGGGTAATAGAAGTGTATATTACCCGGTTAACCGCTGATGCCCGAAACACAGACTGATCTCCATAAATGCTCTCCCCAACCCCCTAGACTTTTGATGAGAATCTAATCTGGTCTTGAGGAGAAGGGAGGAAAGCAAAAGAAAAAATAATAAAATAAAAGACAGGCTGTAATAATGAACCTGAACATCAAGAATCTGGCTGTAAAACCCAATAGAAATTGGAGCTAATTTCTGGGGGCTGCTCTTCTAATGCCCCACCACCCCCCAGCCTCTGCCCCTGTGGTTGGCTTTCTCTGCCAGTGCCTAATATTCCTCAGTGGTAGTGCTTCCAATGGGCAGGATCATCCTGGGGAGAGGAGTGTCACTCTTGTTGCTGGAAGGACGCATTTGGAAACCGAGTATGGGGGACCCCCAACAGGAGAGTGGTCCGGAGAGCCAGGCCCCTGGAGCAGCCTCTGAGGCCATGGAGACGGACTTGAACTTGGAGATGTTCAGGAAGCCTTTCCAGCAAACCAGAGGCTTTCCCTGATGGCAGCCTTCAGGACCTCACTCCTTCCCACCACAGCCCAACCGCGGCAGCTTTGTCTAGAGCTGCTTGCTTCTTGCTGTCTTTGTAACACTCATCTTCATGGACTGTGGCTTCCTAAGTTGCAAGATCACTGTCTTAACTTTTTTTGGAAATGCTTAAAATATCTTGCACATAGTACAGGCTTTGTCATCATCCACCCACCTCCATGAGTAATGAATGAATGACTGACAGCCACAGGGGCCAGGTATTGGTCAGCCACACTCAGCTGGCCCTCTAGGACACCTCACTCTCAGAGAAAACGAGGACGTACTTGAGCCTAGAATGATCAGTTTCTCTTTGCCAGATCCTAACCTCATCCCCTCTGGCATCCGAAGCCCTGCTTTGGGGCTGGCTGGGAATCTACCAACCCTGATTCCACCTATGGACTTACCTGGCTGTTCAACTGCTGTGGGAAAGATCCCCAAGGGAAGTCTCAGCTCAAGCTGGAGAGGAAAAGAGGGCAGCCTCCAATGCCAGAGCATTTCCCACTGCATTTCTGTACGCACCGCACATTTCTGGAACACAGATGGGGCGCTGCAGCCCCACACTCGCTGCCTCTGGCAGGGATGCCCACTTCTCCCCTATTTAAATCTATGAATTGTTAGAAATAGAGCTCCCCTTTCTCCCTGAAGCCCTGTGTCATCTTGTACAATTAAAGTGATGTCTCCCTTCTCTAAGACCCCAACATGCTTCAAATATTTCCTTTGTTTATTCATTCATTCAATTGATCAATTAATGCTTCGTAGAATATACCCTGAGTCACACCAAGAGATGCCTGGTCTCTTCTGGTAATGGTACAAAGATTGCCACCCTGTGGGTTGGCAGAGGCTGCATCATCCATTCTTCAGTGTGCATTGAGCATTCGCTGTCTGCGGGGCACTGTTCTGGGCACGGTGGTACCCTAGTTGGGTCTGCAGAAGTCCTTTCCAGGAGGTAACCAATCTGTGCTACCTTTGTCCTCAATCAGAATCCTGCACTTAGAAGGGCCTCTCCCTGGTTTAATGCTCTAATGTCACCATCGTGAAATTCATAACAATTTTTGAACAAGAGGGCCTGCATTTTCATTTTGTGAAATAGTGTAACAGTTCCTGGTTTCTATTTTGAAGAACTTGAATTTGGGGTTGGAGGTGGAAGCAAGATGAAAATAAAGAAGTAAATGAATGAACGAGACATTTCTGAACAAGACATTTCAGATGCCTCTGTGTGATGGAACAGAGAGTTCAAGGAGGGCTACTTCACATGGGGAAATCAAGGCAGGCTAGCATGAGGAGGAATTCCAACCATAACCAGCATGAGATCGACCGGTTAATCCCGTGAACAAAATGAGCTAGTCAACCCCATGGGGCGCTTCATTGACTGCTCAACCTTTTATTCTATTCCAGATGCTTGGACTGGTGGGTGCCTTCCTTGTCTCTCCCTAGAGGGAAGTTGTCAGGAGGTACAGGCCCCTGTGGACTCCTCTTCTAGCCAGACAGTCCAGACCATTAATGCCACCAGGAACAAGGAGAAACACCCCAATGTGTTCACTCTGGAACCTGCCGGAGGAACAGAAACCTCACTTTCCTCCTCCTCCCCTGGCAGCCTCAGCCTCTAAGCTTCCCGGGTCTTCTCTGTTCCTCTGTCCACCTGACTGTGCCCAGTAATCTTCCATAGGAGATGCATGGTCCTACAGGCAGCCTGAGGCTCATGCCCAGGAGGAGCTCCGTCTCTGGGTCTAAGGTTTGGGGAAACGGCCCAGGCCATTCAATGCTTGTGAATTTCCTTTTCTCCTTGGGCCTCCAGCCCCAGGCTCCACTCAGAGCACTCAGGTGGACTTGCATCACAGCCTTTTGCTGCAGCCTTCCTGGGCCAGGTAAGTTAGGTGAATTCTTCTACACAGGATTCGTGATTCCTTTAGGTCTCTGGAGAGGATGGGAGTGTGAGGACTGGGGCCAGGGCTGTGCCCTCCCACAATGGCTGCTCCCTGTCCTGTTCAGGGACCTCTCCTCCTGCCATACGAGCCTCAGTCCAGCTGTCCCATGGAGAAGAGAGAGAATCAAACAACCCGTCATCTCACCCGGTGAGGAGGACTTGAGGTGACAAAGTAGTGTGGCACCAAGCAAAGAGGCTGGCACAGAAGACCCTTGTCACCTCCTCCAGGCTGTCTTCCATCAATAACAGTCTCCATTGTGGTGCTTGGTACTCCCACGGCAGTCATTGTTTCTCTGCTGTGGCAAACTCCTGATGAAATTCAACAGTTGGGACAAATGGGCTAGAAAGAAGGCTCTCTGAGGGCAGAGACCTTAGGTGCCACAATGCTTACCTGGATGTGATAACCAGCAGGTGTGCAGGGAAAGGTCTGAGGAAGGGAAGGAAGGGGATGGCGTGGCGTGCATAGCTGCAGCACACAGGCCGTGTGTGGGCAGCGCCCAAGAAGGAGGTTTGTCAATACAAGGGTTGACACCAAGTGCTGTGCAGTTGAAAGCCACAATGTAATTATCCACCCAGGAAAAGAGGGTCCCCTCCCACAGGACTGCCATCCACGAGAGAAGATGGAAAATAAACTCATTCGAGGTCAATTTAAAGGTTAAATGGAGGTCAACGGGGCGGGGGGAACTGAGACCCTCCCTGTCGATGGAACAGTCTTGTCCACTCACTTAGGACTTTAACCTTTGGCTCTGACATTCATCTGAAAAAAAAAAAAAAAAAAAAAAATCATGAAGCAGATAATTGGGTATTAGCAGACATACCATTTTAGCCATCTTAGAAAATAAAAAATAAGAGTGATCGTGGATCCAGTGGCAGTTACTTTAGAAAGATAGTAACGTGTAATTCCCAGTTTCTCAGACTGTAACTTCTGCACTTACCACTAATTTCTCCACTGCTCCAATTGCAGTGTATACATTTAGTTTAGAATTTATCATCACCGTTTCTGTATATTACGGCAGCAGCATAATCCATCCTCATGAAGCTAATGCTCAGCATTAGGAAAATGGACTCCGTATGGAGCCTGCCAGGCTCTGGCCTCAACACAGACCGAGTTGCAGGTTCCTGGGCCCCCACTCCTCCCACCCCAGAGTACATGTGGCATTACGTTTTGTGCACTCCCTCCAAACTGCACAGTCTGATTTCTGCAAGTTGCTGGTGTCCATTGTCTGTGGATGTAAAAATCAATGACCTACATAAGATTTTGATTTTGCTCTGGGAATTGAGAGAGAGAGAGAGAGAGAGAGAGAAACAGTGAGAGAGAGAGAGATGAGATGCAAATGGAAAATAATGAAACAGTCATGTTAAGAAATATATTAGCATGTTGGACTCAAAAAATATATTTCCAAGAGGATACGAGTTTTTTTTTTTCCAACAGGAACATATTTAATTTCACGGTCATTTGATTAAAACAGTTAATTGTATTAATGTGTTATTGAGCTGAAAGTGCTGGTCATTCCGGGGTGGACGCTCACTCGGGCGCAGAGAACAAAACCTCGTAACTCCCGGGCTCTTTGGGAGCTG